GAGGAATGGTCAGGTTGAAGCTGTATACACAATGCGTGGAAGACATCATTTGTGAGAGTAGCAGAGGGTGGCCGCTTCTGAGGATGTTGCCACACGCTGTGGGAACTGCACTTGTAGTGACCCGAACACAACAGGAGGTCCTGCACCATGCCCGTGACCACCTTCAGAATGGACTGCTGTGACCCTGAGGACTCTTCTTGGCTGGGTTTCAGCTGTAGATCTCCAGGCCTTTCTTCCTAGTCTGCCTCCGCCTGGAAGCTCTGCGGAAAACTTTTCCGTATCCTAGCAACACGCCAGCCTCCAATGACAACGACTGTGCTCTGGCCGGAACCAAGTCTGGGTCTCCAGCACCCTAAACAACACTGCCAGCGAGGGATTCTGACTCTGACTCGTAGCGGCCCCACAGGACAGCGTTGAGCTGCCTGAGGGGTTCCGGAGCTGCAAACTTTAATGAATACCAATAGCCTCATCTTTCTCCCTCAGGGTGGTTGGTGGTCTTGAACCATTGACCTTGCAGTTTGCAGTCTAACTCGTAACCCATTAGGCCACCAGGGTGAGAGCAGGTGAGAATTGTAAGAACAGAGCTACCACTGTCCCCGCCAGCACACGGCTGTGAGTTCACACGCATGCATCGTGCGCGAGAGCATGTTAGAGACGCACTGCTCTGCCTTAGCGGGGGAGCAAAGCACCTGCAGGACAAGGAGATGCTGGACGTCAGAGGGGGAGGCCACCTGGTTGGGACCCCGGGCGGTGAGGAAGAGATGGTGGTGGCTTCAGTCACGCGGGGCTGTCCGGGAGTGTCCACTGACCCAGGAAAATAAAATGACTGGCTCCTAACCCCGAGGCCATTGAGGCAGTTCCAGCTCATAACAACCCTGTATCTCACAGAGAGGACTCCAGAAGGCTGTGGGTCTTCAGGGAGGCAGGAGGCCTCATCCTCTGTGCACGGAGCGGCTGGTGCATTCTAACCACCAACTGTTTGCTCAGCCCCCGGTGGCAGCTGGGTTCTAAGACACTGACCAAGTAACCAACTGCCATTGAGTCCACTCTGACTGAGAGCACCCGCATAGGATGATCACACTGCTCCCGAGGGTCTCCGAGGTGATAAATCTTTGCCGAAGGAGAGCCCTGTCTTTCTTCTGTGGACGTACAGTTAACAGCCAGCACAAAACCCACTGCGCCACTAGGGCTCCCTCCCACACTTCGTAGACACGTGGAATAAGCTCCAGTCAGGATGAAGGGTCAGGGTTTGAGAGGGCACTATCTGTGAGATCACCCTGTTCCCAGAGATAGCAAAAGCAGACAAAGGTTTGGGCCAGATGGGCTACAATGTTCCAGCTGGCTGGTGCACAGCCAGCTAAGCCTAAACAAGCTGCCAGCTTAGCTAGCTCCACCACATTGGATCAGCCGGACTACCAGGTCCTAGCTATCAGAAACCCCGGCACTGGCCAGGGTGATGATGGGCAACACCCGAAGCCTTTCTGAATGGTTCCACCAATCTCCTCCGTTTTCTGTGGGCAGCATGCTGAGGTTCAACAGACTCTGTGACTCACATAGTCTCATACTCACTATCTCTTGCTTACGG